GGCACTGCCGGGCCCAGGGGGCAGCTTCTTGCTGCCACCCGGGGCAGATCTGGAGGGCATGGGGTACCTGATGCCGGCGAGGGTCCCCAGCGAGTGGCCCTAGTGGCAGTGGTTTTCAATCGCTTTTTGAACCGAAGTCCGGCAAGGAAAGCCATATTTTGCCCCACACGCTGAAGGCTAATCATGAATCCGTACTGCTAGCTGGCAAGTTCGAGCAAAGTGAGATTGGGTTGCCAGTGGTGCATGCCAGGATAACAGAGTCACACGTGCCTCATTCGGCGTCGCGGGATGGTGTTGCCCGTGCGCCTTTCCTGGTCGCTTGTGACAAAACGCCAAGCCCGCGTCTGCAACTCGTGAGCAACATTTTCTTCTGCAACTCGTGCGTTGGTCACGAGCAATCTTTCGTTTGTGAACCACAACGAAACGGGCGGGCCATGCTGAAACGGAGTGGATCATTTGCCGCGCTCCAGAAAAGCCACCAGAACTCCTTCGCCGGCCACGCCTTTGCACCATCAGGCTGGGAATGGGGGACTGAGGGTTGGCTTTCTGCCTAATATTCGACATATTTGGAGGCTGCCCATTTTGTTGGGGGAACAGTATCCCTCAAACGGGGTTCTCACTCAAGGCCTTGGACAAAAGCCTGCGGAAGGCTTGGAAGGAACGTCTTAAGGAACATTGTCGTGCGTCACATGTCACTCCCCAAAGACTACAGTTGCCTTTTCGCGTTGAAAAGCTATAATGACCCTCCAACCTTGAATGGGCTTCTTTGTTGGGATGGGATGACACCAAAGCAAGATGGAGTGGCAGCGCTTGCACGCAGCAAACACATGAGTGTGGGTGTGCGCGTGGCAATTTCCACTGAGCAAAAGCCGGACTCACATGGAGATCCTCCCAACGAGCTGTGTTCTTTTGGGTTCCTTCAAACATAAGGTCTCACAAACATACATCTCACAGTCATTTTGACTTGAGTGAATGCTTTGTTTGTGAATCTTGGCCAGGCGGAGTGACCAGGCTTCAGAGCCACTTGGCGCATTGAGTCGGCCGTGGGCTGTTTCCTGCAATATGTGCAGCCTCCATCGCATCCATGGAATTTTCCGGTCAGACCAACCTTTTCTCCGGATAGGGTGGGGGGCCCGCAGGTCAGTACAATTCTGGCAGCTCCACCAGCGTGCCCAGCAGTTTGGGCAGTTCCAGTGGCCCGTCTGCAGTTCTCGGCACGGACTTTTGTGATACCTGGGCCAGATGGTTCCCTTTTTGGTTCCCTTTCTCCAGTGACTTGAAAGCAAGGAGTTCGTTTTCCCATGCCTTCAGCTAGCTTGCGAGGTTCCGGAGGCATCCCAAGAAGGCTGGCAGTGGCATGTTCTTTCCCGTTAGTTTCCTTGAAAGCCCGAAGACGTGTCAGGTCCTTTGGGTTGGGTGGGGGCCAGGATCGTTTTGCTTGCTAGGTACTAGAATCATTGAAGCAGAGAACTGCCTTTGGAAGGCTAGGTGTCCTTTAGAGAAAGGCGTTTGTGCGATTCCCAGTTTGGTTTGGATGAGGCCGTGCGACGTGTTTTTTTGTTTTTAGAGGCATTCGATGCCCGGGCAGTTGGGCGCGCCTGAGGCCTCGCCATGCCTGGCAGCTTCTATTCGGCAGGGCTGCAGAATGCGAGGGGTGGGATGTGGTGCAGGGGTGAAAGAGGTCAGGGCTACGAGCGCACTCGCCCTCAACTCACCTGGACCCACAATGTGTGCCTATCATCTACCTGTGATCCTGATGGGGTGGGATTAAACTCGCTTGCGTTTTGGTGCAGCCAGCAACATCTGGGGGGCTCACCTAAAGTCGTTTCCTCGAAGCGCACCCCCCCCCGGAATGAAGGACACTTCTTCCAGGATATTGCCGGTTGTCCAATGACTGGCCCCAACGACTGGCCTGGGAAGAGACAATGACTAGGCCTGCAGTGGAATGATTTTCCTTAGCATTTTGGCAGGGCCCTCGTTCTGACGCATTCCACATGAGGCTGTTTCCTTGTTCCCCCGTCCTGGCCTTCCACTCTCTCGATTCTTTTGTTTGTCCCTTGCTCCGTTTCTCTTCCCACTTTGCCATTTCATTGCAGCATGTTCTCCGACTGAAAGCTGGATCCAATATGCGTGCACTCTCCAAGGCCGGCCTTGGCCCGCAAGGCGGAAGCTTCTTGAGCCTTGGTTGAATGGCGGAAGAGTCAGTTGGGCGGGTCGAGTTTTCTTAAGTCCGTCCTTGCAAAAAAAATAAACCACCAAAAGAGTTTGGATAGGAGCCTTTTTGTTACCTTCGAACTTCCATGCCCTTTCAGTGGAGACTTTCCGGGTCACGCTCCCTCGGATTACTTCGCAAACAATTCTGGGTTGTCATTATCATTCTTGTCCAACGCAAAACAATCAAACCAAGGCTTCATTTCGCGCAGCAGCACTCTACACCTTTGCGTACATACATGCAATTGGACGACAATGTGTGTGTGTATGCATGTGTGTGTACGAATGGCTCCTTGTCTCACCCATGTGCTTGCGGTGATACTACGTAGGGCATATTTTCTCGCAAATGCGTGGCTGCTTGATCTTGGTACAAAATGGTGCTGTTCAATCTTGGGTGATGAGTCCATCTTGTTGACACTCTTCATATACAAGGCAGCTTGGCTCGACAGAGTCTCGTATTCTACTTAAAGTGCAAGTTCCATGTCCCCCCGCTTTCCTTGTGTTCAGCGTTTCGAGTCACCTTCAAGCCAAGCCGCTAGCTTTACATTGCCCCGTTCTGAACAAATCTGCGGGTTTGCTAAGGGGTGGCAGCTTTCTGGCCGGGCAGCCCAGGGCCACGTGAGAGACCAATATGCAGATGTGTGACGGCAAGTTCGGGTGTTCTTATGACGAGTTTCCTTTTCAGATACTTTTGGTTTCCATTTGGCTTTTGCTTAGTTCACCTCCCTTTTCCTTCCTGGTGATTCCTTTTGGGTACCCTTTTTGCATCCTTCGGCTTACTTTTGTTTCCGTTGGCACCCACACTAGCAAGAGTGGCCCTGCTTCGCAGTGCTATGAGGCACCCAACCCCTGAGACCGTTGAGGGGGGTGGCGTATGCAGAAAGGAGATGTGTTGGGCCTTTGTTGTTCTTGAGATTGAAGGAAAACTTTTCTTGCCGGAAGTCTGATCGGTTTGAATAGCTTTGTAGGTTTGCATAAGGTGCGGGGCATCTCATTCATCGGAGCGGTTGTCAGCTCTGGGCGGACTTACTCTTGTTGCTATTAGGACAATCCGGGAAAACGGTGAAACCATGGGAGCAATGTTTGTTGCATTGCTTGACCACACTCCAGACTCCAGGTGTTTGCAACTCTTGCTTTAGTTCCTTGCAACGAACAATAAGCAACTGGGAGCTAGGAGAGATCCGAGCATCAGGGATCAGATGGGATGTCACAATTCGCTGGGCTTGCCAAAAAGCTAATCTTTGGGGGCACCACATGTTCTGAATCAAGACTATTTCCGCGGGCATTGCTTTTGACCTTGCTGAGATGCACAACGCCTGGAACCTGCCTCGGACTGGCAGCAATGCCGGGTTTCCTGGAAGTGCATTGCGTTCATTGCGCTCGGTGTCTTCGGTGTCTCAGAGATTTGCTGAGTTTTTTTGATCAGTTTGGACATGGACAGTGGTGGTAAATGGTGGTGATGGTGGTGGTGGTGGTGGTGGTGGTGGTGGTCATTCTTGGTTGCGTCTGCACAACTAATGTTTGCCTTTCAGTTTCTAGTTGCAACGTTGCAGGCCACAGGAGGTAAACGAGTCGAAGTGCTGTCAGGTCCAGGTGGGAATGCCGCCGCTGACCGTTCCGATGAGTCCTGCCCCAAGGACCATGGCAGAGCGTAAACCTCGTTGGATGATGTTTGGTCACTTCGGAACGCAGTTGACCATCGGCGGTTCTTCCCTCTACACGTCTTCGCCTGTCCCTCAGGTTAGACGTGCACAATGTTATGAGCCTCTGATCATGTATAGAGTGATAGGTAATGCCTGATGGGGTCGAGGCTGTGGCGCTTGGCAAAGACTTTGTGCTGGCTGGAAGGAATAGGAAAGTACAGAGAATGTCTTTCTGCTGCAAGATAAGTGTAGTCATATCATCATAATATGAGGCTCAACCGTTGCTGAGCATGGTCCGTCAAATCGCAACGCCGCGATCCACAAATTCAGTGCATGACGGGCCTCGCGAAAGTCGGTTGTGTGGTCCCAACTGCTTGAATCAGAACATCCCGCATCAAGAGGTTCCAACGTTCCATTTGGGACTTTCCCAAACAACCGGCTGATAAGGATACTTTCTCTGAGTCATATGTTCGGCATCCTGGAACAACGTGAAGCTGATGTCCCACTTCTACTCTGGCAGAGGCTTTGCGCCAAGGGTCCGCAAGGAGTTTAAACCGGCTAGGGATCAATTGCAGACATGTGAGCACGGTGTCAATTCGACATGAACTGTTTGGAGAAAACAGATGGCCCGGTCTCTTCTTGGGATCGCAATGAGATGACGGGCGCTTTCTCTCTACTTCAGGGGCTGGCTGTTATGGTATGATGCAGAGCTGACATACTGATTTGCGGAGTACGCAGCGCTTTTCTCAACGTTTCAACCCGGCTGGAGCGAGGCGCCGTTTCGAATTGATCCCGGGCTAAGAAGCCGCCGGGTTCGGCTCGAACACCAGACTCTCTGGGAAAACAGGCCAGGAGCAACAGGCGTTCTCGTACTTCATCGTCCAGCTCTCTTTCATACGTGAAGAGAAACGAGAGTTGGACGCTCGGGCTCCCGTCTCCCGTTTTGCACCATTGCAAAGGATAGGGGAATTCTTACCCGACCATTTCACGCAACAGGGGGATGCCAGTTGGGGCTGTTATTCCAGCGGTACTTTCGCAGGAACCAGGCTTCAGTTTGTCAAAGTCTTAGGAAATGTGTTGGAGGTTTTGGAAAGACTCCTGTTGGTTGGCGCGAGCCTAGACTCCCACGCCGCATTGTCTGCCTGCAGCGCAAAGTCCCGAGAAGGGCACCCTAGTTTTTTTGGAATGGCGACGACGACAATGTGGCTCGGCTGATTTCTGAAGGACAAGCAAGATTCTTGTTCTTTTACTCCTGCGTGAGCTTAGGACGGTGGCTTCGCCACCGGAGTATAGCAAGAGCAGCCTTAGCACAGGCGGGCGTGTGAGTTACGCGTTGGTGCGTCATGTGTTTTGTGTTGGCAAAGCTCCGTGCAGTTGCAGCTTTGCATGGACGCGGTGCATGAAAGCTGGTTCTGATCATAAACCAAGCACGGGCTTGGCCACAACTGAGAGGATGGCAGGTTTCCGCCATGTTGGCCGGCAGCCACGCTTGGCCCGTGCAGTCCTGCGCTGAAGGTACAGGCACCGCCGGAAGGGTCGTGCTGAACGTGTGCCCCGATGGTCACCTGCTCATCAATAAGGCCAGTGCTCGGAAAAGCGATTCATTTTTGGACATGCGGGACTCCACCAATATTCTTCACACAAGACCTGGGGTCGAAAGAACCAGTTCTTCAAATGTTTCTCCGCACCAACATCAGGAGGAGTACCCAAATTCTCTCTTTTTTTATTTGGAGGTTCAATTCTGCCTGGCTTGCTCTCTCCTTGACAGGATGTGCAAGGGATATGATTCTCAGCCCCAACTGTCAAGAGCAATTGAAAGCTGGGGTTTCAATCAAGGGCCTCATTGACCATCCCCACAAGCAAATCCCAAGTAAGGACTACTGTGTTTGCCTTTTCCGTGGCCCGCTTGGAGGTGGTCACCGGCGGGCTGTTTGGCCTGAACCTCAAGCGCTGCGTGCGCTGCAACGAGCAGCTGAAAACGGCCACCTGGCCCAGAAGTCGGGTCGGAAAGTCTCAGTCTGCCACTGGCCCGTGGCGAGGGGGTTGGGCTCCATCTGGCACTCAAAAGCGGAAGCAGGGCTTCGCACACATTTTTTTCCTGATACTTTCCGTTACCAGGATCTGTTGCAAATGCTAGGGGTTTCAGTCCGGTTCCCACCCAAAAGTGGTGTCATTTCAACCCCTGCTAGTGAAACGGCCCATTTTCCCATGATCAGTCGTGACTTGGTGGCCCTTGTACCCAGGGCTTTCGCCGGCACAGCTGCAAGCTTTGCGGGTTCCACCTCTGCGAGTCGTGCCGTGGAATGGGGAGGGAATGGGAGGGAGTGGGGGAGGCAGTTGGGGCTGTTTGTTGAAAATGAACAGGAGCCAAACCGCTTGGTTGACAAGCAGGCTTGTCTCGGCTTAGAAGTGACCAAACAAGGCGAAGGCACCTAATTATTTTTAATTTTGACATACTTCCTATTCTCCTTGGGGTGGTGGCGTATCGATGGTCTGGCTGGAAGCTCAGGCCGTCACCAAGCTCCGGCCAACTGGCACTGTTTTTGCAAGAATTGGTGACTGGCCCTCATCACTGCTCATCACTGTGAGAGCAACATGTACGGCAACCACTTCCTGATTCATATGATTCGCTCTGAGGCGGCACAAGAGGTCATACATGCCTTAGTTGCTGTGTGAAGGGCACTCACTGAAGCATGACTCATGCTGTTTAACGACAACTCCTGGCAAACAGCTGTCAAGCAACAGAAGATAGCGTTCCCCAAGACTCCTGACTCCCGGTAGCCCAGCGTCCGTAGTCAGTCTCTTGGCCAGAAATTTTAAGATTGATTGGAACCAATCCGCCGCTGCATGACTCACCCTTTAGCTCGCCGCCTGCAAGTGCGAGCCTTGCGATTGCCGGTCTCAGGTGCTGGACGCTGTGGATGGGCAGAGAGGCCCCGAAGGTGCTGCTGGGCTCCACGCCGACCACCAAATCCTCCCCCATGAGGCGGGAGCCGGCTGTAGAAGTTGGCTGGCTGGGGCCCGGGCATGTGCTACCCAGGCTGCATGCTTTTTCAGAGCGTGCCAGGGTGCCAGTTTTCCAAGCAGGACGGGCTCGATTCCAAGAAGGCATTAATTTGTTGCCCTCCAAAAAGGCTGGAGTGAGTGACTTTCTACTCCTGGCCCTGCATGACATGCCAGTGCTTTAATGAGGCATCGACATCTTGTTTGTGAGAAATGCAGCCCTCGGGATCAGGGCGAGCAGCAGCACCAGCATGGTGACGAAATCGGCCACAGTGGTGCCTGCCTGCAGGGCCCCCAGCTTGGAACTGTCATGGTCGCCTTCCACCTTGTTCAGCCACCACCTCGCCCCGCTTTCGGGCAAGGCGCTGTTTCAAGGGGATGCGTGCATCCAGCCACCACCCGATATTTCAAAGAAAACAACCTGTTGCAAACTGCAAAGACTCGAAACTCTCAGATGAGGCGATTGCAGAAAGGGCACCTTGTTGTTCCTTTGTTGTGGATTGCATAAGCAGTCGGAAGGTCTGATTGTGGGCCTTTCGTTTTGTCAGGCTTTCCCAAACACGTCATTTTGTTCCGCAGCCTGTTGCACCGAGGCAAGTATGGCGCTGCCTGCTACCAGAAGAGCTCCTGGCATTTGCAGCAATTTGCGCACCCGGGCGCTGCTTGGCCAGAACGGATGCTTTGTGATCTCACAATGCAGCTCCGGATGCGCCAAGAAGATACCCCTAGCCTTTACTTTCAGCACGACCTCTTCCTTCAAGTGGATGGTGGGAGCTCGGTTGGGCAACAATCATGCTGTGACCACATGCCATCTTTGCTTTTCTTGGAATCTAGCCGATCTATCAAAATTCCCCAGTGCTTCCGTTCGTGACGAGATATTGTACGAGGACCGCCACTACCGACACGGCCTCGTGTCCTTCAGCCGCCCGCCAGCAATGGTGGTCTGGGGGGGTTGGCAGTCCGGACCCGGGTCGGCCTCCGAGCTAAAATCGCACAGACATCATCATTGTTCAAACAGCTATCAATTGAATCACCTCAGGCGACCAAGTTCAGCTACCACGGTAGCTGAAGTGAACACTGTACTCGCAACTTGACTTGCTTGAAATTGCAATGCAAGGCACTACTGTAAAAGTGACCAACAATTGGGCAGGTACATCCTGGGGAGTCCTCCAGTCCTGCAGCAAATACAAGGAGCTTCATTGAATGGAGCTTTGTGTTCGCTCTCCATCTCCCCTTGCTATTTGAAGGGAGAAACATACTTTTTTCAGACGCAAGAAGTGATGGACACACACACATACACATGCACACACACACACACACAGAAACTCAGTCCAGCAAAATGACCAGCACTACTGCGCACGACTGCCGCGTTTCTCAACAACTTGTCACGAAAAGGGGACTGTCCCTGGCCCGTCTTGTGCTCAAATTGGGCCGCACGTGGTCCAGCAGTATGCTTCAAATGCAAGCACGAGAGCTCACGCACTTGTTTCAGCTCGGCAGCTATGCAGCTCCCGGCCAGGCAGCGGACAATGTCCCGAGTTTCAGAGCCTTTGGCAGAGCCTTGGATGGAAAGATGGTGCCAGCGCAGCTGTGTGGGCGGAACTTGCGACCATCTCGCAAATACACCTGCCTTGATTATTGGAGTACATGATAGAACCTGGGGTTGGCTGACCTATTTGTACAGAGTGAACAAACAAAGCTTAGCATCAAAAACCCTATCTTTTTCGCTAGGGAGTCGTTGCCGCATTGAGCTGTGGAACTCTCCCCAAGACATCTGGAGCGACTATGAGTCCCGGCCGAGGCTTTTCCAGTATCACGACAGAGCAGAGTCTGGGCACTTGGACAGAGAGGACCGGCTGGGAACAAAGCGCAGTCGAGTTGCGCGGGGCGAGTCAGTTGACAGAATCATCTTGGCCTCAAAGGATTCAACTTCTTCATACCTTTGTTTGGAAGGTTTTGCTGCCTCTTCATTCAACATGGTATATACATCGTCTTTTGGTTGCAAGGCTTCGGGTAGATGTACAACGACTCCTGTCCTACGTCCTGCCTCTGCTTTGCGCCCTTAGAGAGATGGCACGGGGCTTGGATTTGCCTCGCGTTTGGCACGTCGCCTCTGCCAGGAGTTCGCCCTGGCCCTCCACAGCTGCAGCCTGTTCCACAGAGATCTTCCGCCACTAGAGGCGCAAAAACTATCGCCAGCGAGTTTTGTTGAATTATCATGCCTACAACTCCAAGCGCCTACACTTGGGTGAGTTGCGGGCTTAGATTAGACTTTAGCTTACACCACCACGACATTTCGGTTGCTTCAGTATCAGAATCGTTCAAAATGTCATTCAATTCAGTCATCATCCGCACTATCCAGGGATGGCTTGAGGGCATCATGGTTTTTAAAGCTGTCTTCCTCTTGTTTGTCCTCTCCCCTGTCCTTTTTCTCGTTCAGTTCTCCTCCTTATCAGCATTGCCGTCGTCATCATCATCATCATCATCATCATCATCATCATCATCATCATCATCATCATCATCATCATCATCATCATCGTCAGCATTGCTATGCCATCATTGTAACAGCAGCGCAGTGCTAGTGCTTAAAGTTTGGATGGAGGGTGGCACCGTTTCTGGTCAATCTCAGCTTCAACCGCCGTGACCTTGGATCAACCAACTAGTCGTTTTCCGCAAAGGGACTGGCAGGAACACACCACATCCAGCTAGCTTTGCGTCTCTGCAACACTGCAGGAAAGGCTAAGTGTGTCACCTAAGCCACAGTTGTTGACTTGGGTCGATAGTTTAAAGTAGGCACGGGCCTTTCTCCAGCGCCTACGATTCCAGATCAACTATGGGGTGTCATCTAAACCAATCTTTTGCATCGTGAAAGACATGCCGTGGAGTCACTTTTTGGTTCGCGTGAAAGCACTGCGAGCGCAGGAGGCCTGGGAAACAGCTGGGGGGCCCTGCACGGGCTTCGTGAACTTCAGCGAGTTCGCGCACTTTGCGGAGGCGAGGGCTTTGATTGAAACGCTACCGGGGCCATGGGTGTCAATCATTGAAAAAGCAGCCTTTTCAAATCAGGTTGTCCGGGCTGGATGTGCTTGAGCGTGCGGCTGCTTTTGGCTGTTTGTAAGGAGTAATGGTTTGGTATTTTCCGGAATCTGGGAGGCAGAGGCAGATTAGCACATGGGAAGAGTTGACAGACCTCTGGTTGTTTTCTCGGAGATGGACATACAATTGTGAACAAGGCCTCAAAAAGCTGAGGGAAGCATGTAGTGTAAGTTCTATCGATAGCAGAAGCTTAACTTGCTTTCAGGGAAAACAGGTTTGAAGAGGGGTCGACCAAGGGCAAGTCAACATTGTCAACGGCTGATGAGGAGCCTTTTTTCCCCACCCGACAGGAAGGGGTTGTTAGGTTTTATGTTGGAATCCGTGTTTGCGATGCTTCTACACCACGCCCCCACCCATTATCCCGCCAGAGCAGCTCGCCAGTCGATCCCGCCGAGTATCCCGCCAGAGCAGCTCGCCAGTGGATCCCCCGCCAGAGCTGCTCGCCACTGGATCCCGCCCAGTATCCCGCCAGAGCTGCTCGCCAGTGGATCCCGCCAAGTATCCCGCCAGAGCGGCTCGCCAGTGGATCCCGCCGAGTATCCCACCAGAGCGGCTCGCCAGTGGATCCCGCCGAGTATCCCGCCAGAGCGGCTAGCCAGTGGATCCCGCCAAGTATCCCTATCCCGCCAAAGCGGCTCGCCAGTGGATCCCGCCGAGTATCCCGCCGAGTATCCCACCAGAGCAGCCGGCCAGTGGGTCCCGCCGAGTATCCCACTGAGTATCCCAGAGTAGCTCGCCAGTGGATCCCGCCGAGTATCCCGCCAGAGTAGCTCGCCAGTGGACCCATCAGAGCAGCCCGCCAGTGGATCCCGCGTCCCGCTGAGTATCCCTTGCCGGTGGATCCTGCCGAGTATCCGGCCAGCCCCGCCAGAGCAGCTCGCTAGTCTGGTTTTGCTTAATGTCCAAAAGGGCCGACGAGAATTTGGAGTCGAAGTCTCTAGGATGCGGAGGAATTTGTTGTAACGGCCGTAAGCTCGTGAGTGTGGAGGGTGGGGATTGCTCGAAGCGAAATATTTTGTTCCGTTCTTTTGACGGCTGAAATCTAGATTTGCTACGCGCAAAATTCAGTCCAAGGAAGCTTTCAGTTCAAGCTTGGGCTATGTACAAACAAAGCTTTGGACGACTTGGGCAAATGTCAATCACACTTAGTTTAGTCTGCGTCATTTAAAATCCAAACACGTAGATGCTGTTGAAGTGACCATATTTGCTATGGCACTTTGTGCTCGCTTTCTGAATGTTTTTGTGCTGGGTCATGGACACACATTGCCCCACTTGGAAGATCTTCCCTGCGCTTTGGCCTGCCGTTCAGAGCATCAGGCTTGCCCGTATATACAACCCATTTGTACATATTTTTGTAAACGCGCCAGTACCTATGTATATTTATCAAGAGATGACAAGATATAAGCATTCCAAACAAGTATGAACAGAGATCAACATCTGGGAAAAGAGCAAAGCCAAACACGAGCCTGCATTCGCGGTCGGGAGAGTCAGCGAGGGTTGCACGTCGCACTCCGTCGCCGCTGGCTGAGTCGCTGAGCCTGGCGCTGCCGCTGGGCTTGGAGCCCAAGGGAGCGCCGCGGCCTTGCAGGCGGAGTCCGGGGAACCGAACCGAGGCGTACGGAGGGTTCGGATTCTGAGGTTGTTTAGGGTTTAAGATTCAACACTGATTCAAGATTAAGTGCTGAATGGTCCAAATTGCAGGAAGGTGCAGAAGTCCATGAGAATGACTCTAGCGCTATATGGCCCTGAAGAAAGTTATCATGGTGCACGCCTTGCGGGCTTCTTTCGGAGCAAAGGCAAAGCAAGGCATTAAGAACTTGAGGCCATTTTGCAGCTGCGTCGGGGAGAGCAATCTCGAATGCACCCGAATCCTCGTAGGCCTTATATGTTGTGACTAAAGACCCACTCTGAAACGACCCCAAATCAACCTTGAACGCCGAACTTAGGGATGGCAACGCGCCAACCGGGGGTCATGATTTTGATGAAGACCCAGCGCTGGCGCTTCTTAATTGTGACTTGTTTGCTTAACAGTCGTTCTTGTGCCGTTTTTGCATTGCCAAGTTGCGATTGATGCTCGAGCAAATCATCCCAAAAGGAAAGCATGAGAGTGTCAAGCGAGCATGTATCAACCTGCAGTGCCTGCAATGGAACAGAGAGCGGTGTGTGCGGGCCACAGCAAAGGTCTACGAAAAGCTGACAGGGCTGCAAACCGAGGCGTTTGCGTCAGCTTTCGGGAAGGACCCGAATATTGCACATGACGAACCACCAGCACAGCTTGGCAGTAAATCCCCAAGCGCCGAAACTGACGCTTCAAGCCAAAGATACGCACCCCTCGACATCCTCAGCAAGAACTCTGACAACCTTGAAACCTCAGCAGACCGGAGATCATACGAGGGAATAATTCGACCAGGCCCAGTCGGATCCAGACAGTTTCTGCATGTGATGAACGTCCTGCCTTCGTGGTGTGCTTTGCATTCTTGGCATGTTTTCGACCATTTTTCCCACAACGCAGGTTCCGAATCCGGCTGATCAACAACGGAGAGGACGGAGACGAGGAGCCTGGGGCTTGAGGTTGAGTGACCGTACTATCACCAGCAAGTCATCAGATGTATTGGTGCCTCGTGCGAGAGAGCTTGTCGTCGGCAGGACTTGATCAGGCAGATGCACCGTGAGATTTGACATATGCACACTCATGAAAAACAGTTGCAGGGGTTGCTTTCTTACCCTTGGTGAGTCTCCAAGGCTGAACTTTGGTGATATGAGCTGCTCTTGAATCGTTTTTTTTTTTTTTTTTTGTGGTCACTTGGTGCAACCCCTGTGATTGTGCGATGAGCCTTGGATTCCTGGAGCTTGCAAGGCAAGCGCAAGGCAAGCCCATCTCTTGCCTTGCCAGGAGTATACCTGCAGCTGCTCATGCTTCGATGCGGACAAGCGTTCGGAAGGTGCCGCTGAATAGGGCCTTAAAAGACAACTTCACAACTATTGAACTTTTTGGAAGATTAGCCCAAAAGGAGCTCAACATTTTGAGACGCATGTGGGATTCTTGCGTCTTTGCCTCTGCCGATTTGAGATTTGCAGACGATACTGAGCACGCTTCTATGGTCCAGTCGTTCAGGGTTGTGGGCAGAGCGTGTTCCAGGGAAAATGGTCAACCCCTTGCGCAGGGATGATCTGCCGCTGCGCCTGCCTCAGTGTCTGCGAAGCTTACGGCAGTGGCAACTCGATCGGTACAAGAAATCGGACTGCAGAGGGCATCAGCCTGGCTTGGGCCGGATTGGGCAAAGTTGGTTGGCTGTTACAAACAACCCGGCGGATGGCATATTTCCCATGGCCGTTTTGGCCATGTTCCACGGAAGCATTGGCCTGTCAGCAGACTTCAGGGAGGGACTTTGGACCGAGGCGGTCATAAGCTGAGCATGCACCGGTCCGATTATGCAGAGGACCTGCCACTGGCTGGAACAGAGGGAGGGACATTGGGGGAAGGTGCAGGTCGTTCAAGGGTTGGTTTCGTTTTGTTTTCCAGCAAAAAGCCTTGCACAACTTCCACATACTTGCACATTCGAAAATTGGGCTAGAGCATGTGCTAGAGCCACGTCACCTCGCCGACACACAATGCTAATTACTCCGGGTGGAGACATGATTCCTTTCAGGTGGACAGGGGAACCCTTTGATCGGCATTGCCATTTTTGGGTGCTGAAGCTGACACCGCCTGCCTCAGCCGCAGTTTCTATCAGGACACCTACAGCAGCATTTGCGCGCCTCCGCTCGCGTGGCTGCCAGGGTGTGAGGGCCTGGTGGAGGTTACGAACCAGGACGGTTGGATGGAGCTGGTCAACCGTTGGCCTCTCCTTTCCGGAGCTGTTTCCTGCTTGAGCAAGGACTCCCCAAAATGTTCAAGCTTCATGCGGAATAAATTATTATATATTCCGAATTTGACTTTTCAGGAGGATTGGAAAGGGAAGGGGCGCATGAGCGAAACCATGTCCCATGTCCGATTCACGTCATTGTTCTGGCAAAGCAATACGCTGGCAGAGTTGACTTTTTTACACTTGACCTTCCCGTGGGGACATAATGAAGTTTAGATGCGATTGGGACGTAAACTTCATAGTTCGACAGCTCGGTCAGAGGCTTCCACCACGACGGATTTTATGACCAGGCTGTCTGTTAAACGGAGACACTCATCTAAGCGCTGCAAGTCGGTCAGCTGCGAAGCACAATCATTCAGCGCAGGAGCTGCTAGGACGCCTCCAGAGCATGCTGAACAGCAGCCACAAGAGTCATGACAACTGGCCCGGGCCCCAGCCGTCAGCGAGCGGTAGACCGACGTGCGAAGTGCAGGTGGCTCCCTCAGATCCAGCCTTGGTTAAATGAACAAGGATGACCAGGTCAATCCCTGAAATGAGTTCGGTTGCAGCTTGGAATGAACAATTCGCAAGCTTGGAAGCCGCAGGTGTGACATGGCTGTTGAAGGCCTTTGGTTAGCGGTCCCAGATGCCCGCCCAGGACAAGGGACAGAGGTTGCAGGCTCGGCTGACGAAGGGCTGGGGGCTGTGAGCAGCATGGAAGGAGAGGGGACGATGGTACCTCCATCTCTAGGGAAAGAGCAAAGTGATAGGACACTTGATGCACAACTGATGGAAAGACAAACATATCTCTTTGACCTTTTCACTTCTTATATGCTTTGCATACTGGGTTCTCCAATCAATGCTTGCCCTGTCGTTTTACTTGAAGTCACTGAGCAGCTGTACGCGGCGACAGGGACTGATTTTGACCCACGTACCCTTGCCAGAAAAGACATGCCGCTTGCTCGCAGGCTGCACGGTGTGCACGGCTGCTCTTGGGCTTGTGCTGCCAAGAATCGTTGCCCTGCCAGACAGCTTAGAGGGTGCCAGATGGGGGCACAGGAAAAAAGGAAGGGGGTTCGGTGATTTCAATCGCCCAAACATGTTTTGACGACGGCAGGAAGCCAGAACATGGGGCACGAGGTGAACTTTTGATATCTGACCATCCCACGAGCGTTGTGAGCCTTGAGCAGTCTCAGAGCAGTCTCAGAGTCTGAGGTGCCCAATGGCTTCATGCTGCAAGCAGCTTACAGGCCAGGGTGCCAGGGTGCCAGTCAGGCGAAGGCCTTTCAGAGGCTCCAATGAAGCGTGGCCTCGCCTATTAGCCGCTTTTGAAAATTCAGCAATTGGATTGTGGTCAAGTTAATTGTGGTCATGTGCTGCTTGCTTCAACCGCCAGGAATCAGAGCCCTGAGTTGTGGCGAAGGCGCGTTGTGACAACGAGGAACGGCCCAGCTTGGGTGGTCGTTGAACATGCAGGGCCACCGCATGCAAATTAGGAGAGACAGTTCGTGACCAAAGTTTCGAGCACCAACAAGAGCCTCGTGTTGGCGGATTCTCTTGCCTCCATGTGACAGAAAATTCCGATCACACTTTCCAGACATGGCCTCCCTAAACAGCGTTTCTGAAAGTTGCATTTCCAATATAATACGCTAGCGTCTCAAGTCACTCAACGCTCTGTTCACGTACATGCAGGTACTGCTTGCTGAAGCAAGCGATTCGCTCCGAATGTGCGCGGGGCGAGGAGTTTCCGCAGCCCTCTCTGCTAAGCAGCTTGGCTGTGATTGGATTCCTGAGGATTCCTGAGGACTCCTGAGGATTCCCAGCAGCTTGGCTGTGAATGCAGCTTGGGTTTGGCGGTTTGGCGGTTTACCGTCTACCCCTAAAGGTTTTGACCTCAGGTCTCGGCTGCTTCGCATCAGGCAAACAGGTTGTCCGACGGGCTGACGTCGCCAACTTTTTGTGGAAACCCGAAGGCAGGGCACAGGGCGCTTCGGCGCTTCGATCCGATTCCAAGGCGCCTCTGACCTCGATGAGCCTCTGGACAAGGACCGCAGAGCAGCAGAGTTGCCTTGGCTGCCTGCATCGATTCCCCGAATGTTTCAACTCAGCTTGTCTCCTACATGCTGCACACATGACTTGCATACATATCTAGGGATCCCACAGCTCGCGATCTCAATTTCTAGATGGCAGAAAGGCCACACGAGGGCAGTTCTTCCTAATGAAGGCCAGCAGGTTGCAAGCTGGAACGGAGAGGCTTGGGAAAGGCTTCGCAAAAGATGAAAAGGGCATGTGCTGCACGATTTAGGGATCTTGTGATACCACTGGTATTATGCGCCTCTTGGAGGCTGGTGCAGTTGCCAGTGAAAGTCTTCATGTGCGGGGTGGGCCTTTCCGGACGGCTGGCAGAATTTATGTTGTGAGTTTCGGTCGAATTACTTTTAACCTTGCCACACAACCACGAGACTCACTCATTTAAGACGAACAGCACCTGGAGTCTTTGACGCATACCAGGCGACTTCATGACATTTCCCCCATCCTGGGATTTGCTTGACCCACGCAATTGTCTGCGTTTCTTTGGAGTCAACAGCCGCATCTCATGAAACGTGAGGACTGCAATGAATGGCGCTGCTTCCATGGCAGCGCGCCGGTTAACCTCCGGGGCATTTGCGCGTCCAATTTTAAGCCCGCAAAGGCGGGTACAGGCGGGACGACTTGGCTTGACCCCGACATGGTTTGCTGCCTTAGTTCCGATAGTTTGTTGTCTTTTTGCCAATCCTTTTTGTCCTATTTTCTTCAGCTTCGGATTCTTGTACCTGCTGTTGTTATTCTTGTTGTTTCGTCCTTGGGACGCTGCTTCGTCGTTGTCGAAGCTTTTGCAGTTATTTCAACTACCGTTCTGCAGTCGCTGTAATGCCGGGATTCGCTGTAGTCAGTGTATATAGTCGTCGTGGTTGTTGTAGTTGTGGTTGCTCCTGCTGCTGTTGTTTTGGTTTTGGTTTCGATGTTGCAGTTGCTGTTGCCGTGGCTGCTGCTGCTGCTGCTGCTGCTGCTGCTGCTGCTGCTGTTACACTGTTTGTTTTTGTTCTTGTTGATGATAATGATGACGATGACGATGGCGATGACGACGACCATGATGATGTTGATGATGATGATGAGGATGAGGAGGAGGTTGATGATGACGAGCATGATGAGGATGATGATGATGATGATGATGATGATGATGATGATGATCATGATGACGACGACCATGATGATGATGATGATGAGGAGGAGGAGGTTGATGATGACGAGGATGATGATGATGATGATGATGATGATGATGATCATCATCATGATGATGATGATGATGATAATGATCAATGAAGATGATGATGCTGATGATCATGAGGAGGTTGATGATGACGAGGATGATGAGGATTATGCTGATGATGATGATGAGGAGGTTGATGATGACGAGGAGGATGATGATGATGATGATGATGACGACCATGATATGATGATGATGATGAGGAGGAGGAGGAGGTTGATGATGACGAGGATGATGAGGATGATCATCATGACGATGATGATGATAATGATCACTGATGATGATGATGCTGATGATGATGAGGAGGTTGATGATGACGAGGATGATGATGATGATGATGATGATGATGATGATGATGATGATGATGATGATGATGATGATGATGATGATGATGATGATACTGATCAATGATGATGATGATGATGATGATGATGATGATGCTGATGATGATGATGAGGAGGTTGATGATGACGAGGATGATGATGATGATGATGATGATCGATGATGATCAATGATGATGATGATGATGATGATGATGATGATAATGGCGATGACGACGACAATGATGATGATGATGAGTCAGTTTTCTTTGCCGCTGCTGTTCACGTTACTCGTACATGCAGCTCCAAAGCTACTGTGTTGATTGAAGCCCTTGCAATTCGCAAAGTTGCTTGTCAGAACCTGCAGTGCCAGCCTCACAGCTGGCCGGATTCTACTCGAATGCCCAGCCAAGTTTTGAGCCTTTACTTGGGCACGTGACGCCAAAAGGAGAGTTGTTCGGATCTCAGCTCCGGGTCCGGCAGGCGCCACCTGGAAGGATGCCGGGGCTTCGAAAGGCACACCTTTGTACGGCTTCGGCTTCTACTTTGCGGAGCGCATCACTAAGGCACGGTCAAAACTTCTGGAACTTGCCAGAACTTTGACTTTGTGAAGCACCCAGAAATCAGGGACAAGCTGAAATGAGAGGGTCGGAGAGCTGGCAAGTGGTTGCTTGGACCGTTACAGGCCGGGATGATAGCTACAGAGCCGTCTTGTGACATGCGAAGACAGCGGGGGCAGGGCTCACGCGGCGGCACGATCTCCGAACTTGGCTTTGAGCGGCGCATTGTGACAATTTCCTCTCATTCCTCTCATTATCATTTAGTCTCGCTTCGCCAGGCCGATGAGTACGCGCGGCCAATGCCAGCAACTCGCCATGACAAAAAACCAGAGTATTTGCCAATTGACCCCTTCAAGAATCGACTGTATTTCAAGAGGAGGAGAGGATCTCTGTCAGCTTGAAGGAGTGAGTGAGGGAGGGTAAGCACTGCAACCAGGGTCTAGTACTTTCCAGCATGGCAATTGTAGTGAATCTCCAGCTCAGAGATTGGACACTCAGCGAGTCTTTCAAACTGTCACAGACCCAGTTTGCTTCACCAGATCCATCGCTGCGAACAGATGTGCAGACTGTTCAACACAACGTCAAGTACAGCCAGCCCTGAACTGAAAGAAGTGAGTAGTGAGTACCTTCTCACCTCACTGTTTGTCGATGCCCAGTCGTATTGGTGACGCCTTGCTGAGGATGGTGACCACGAGGGCCTTTTCGCAGTACTGGTTTGCCGAGTGGTGGGTGGCCGCACCAAGGTGGTGACCAACAATGATATCGACGTGGCACCTTGGCTGAGGTGTGACTCACCATGTGTCGCAGCAAAGACGCATTCGTGGAGCTTTGGGGCTTCCGGGACAGAGAGTCAGAGGAACAGCCCAGTGAGATTTGCTAAACATTGCTCCTGAATTTCTCCAGACCTTTGAAGTACTATCCTTTTGAATCCTGGGGGTATGACCGGGTATGACCGGGTATGACCGGGTTTTTATGTTGGAATGTAGGTTTTGCGAAGCTGACTTGTGGTTGCCCCTCTTGTGCTTACATGTTGGGTGGCCGGCGATGCTGGCGCTTCTTTTCTCCAGGGTTTCCCAACACCAGTGCTTGTGCCCAGGACGGGCTTCGGGGCTCTGTTTTCGATGGCCCGTACCACTCTGTCTTCGGCGACCGTGTCGCGACGCTAGGAAAGCCCTACCGTCCCTTGGATGAACTTGACGTCGGTAAACTTGATGGAGTCGAGTCGTTAGCATGGGATTGTTGGGACCAGTAGACTGAGGAGCGTCCAACCAGGGTCCAACAAGTACAACATGTTTCTTTGCTTGGTCCCAAGGCAGGCTAATGGTGCAATGCCAAAAAAAGGGTGGCTTGCCCGATTGCTGGCAGAGTCTTGGCTGGGGATGTGCCACAAGATTTGTGACCTGATTGGACTTTGGAAGGACAGTGCAGAGAGACCTCAGATTCCCGCACACAGCTGTGCAAGAACTTGGCTTATTGTCCTAGGAGAGAAATCGCACTCGCACCGAGCTCGCTTGTTGTCGTTCAGCCAGCTCCGCTTGGCCAGCTTCGGCTCAAACCTCGTTTGTACTTCGCTTTGAGCTATTTCTGCCGCTTGCACCTGGGCAAAAGGATTGTGGGAGGGGAGCAGGTCGTGACTTGACGTCTGTGGACGCTTCGGGTGAGGGGGGAAGTGCGTGTGGAATATGTTCAACCAACTCATTCTAGCAGGTTCCCTTTGGAATCTGTTGGTGGCCCCAGCGCTGCGGGCTTTCGAGACAGGCAAGATGCGAACATGACTTTGGCGTGCTTCTATTTTGTGGAGGGAGTGGCATGTTGCCCAACGGGAGCTGTTGGAAGCACCAGATTCCCGGCCCATGCATCTTTGCTGCTCAGGTTGAAGATGGCGCTGCTGAACCCTGTGCCTTGGACTGTGCCGCGTTGTTGTTCATCAAGCTTTCAAGCAGCTGGCCATGCCAGCTTCCACCCTCTTGAAACGGGGAAGAACAAGGCTCAAATTGACAGCTCTTGAAGGTTCGCAATCTGTCTCCATGCAGGCAAACGTGGCGGTCTTGCCCGGTGTGCTGCAGCAGCGACGACGCTTAGGCTTGAAAGTGAAGTGATTGAGACTGTGCTGGGCTTCGGCTTGTTGGGAACCTTTTTATTTGCGGTCGATCCCCTTGGTTGGGAAAAAACAAATCTGCAAGGAATGGCCGTAATCATGCCCCTGGCGCTGGTGATCCTGATGGTGCTGAAAAGGCGTGCGTTGATGTTGCGGGGGGGAAGGGGGGGCACACGATTCGACGATGGCTGCCAGGCTTTGGCGCGGGTCCTCTTCCAGCCTTGGCTCCAAAGCACGTGGCACCCTGCTCACGGGTCTTCGCGCCTCGAAAACCGAGCATTGGGTGGGGACATTGGAGGACAGGGAAGCCTCCTGGCAAAAAGTACGGGGCAATTCTTGTTGCTTCCTGGCGATAGCTGGTGGCTTATGGTGAGCGTAAACACAGGATACAGTATATGTGTCGCAACGCGACAGTTTTCCTTTTGGTTTCAAAAGGATGCCTATACACTCCGAGATCTTCAAAGCGCTGCTCCTTTCAAGAGGCAATGCCTCTTCAGAAGCTGCTCTTTTCCAGGCAAAAAGTGCTCTCATGGGTGGTCTGCTGCTCATGGACAAGTCAAGGCTGATGCAGTCGGGGACATCAGACGCAGCTGGATTCTAGCTAGCCAGCTGCGACAAAGGGGGTTGACTGCTGTCATGCGGAAAGCTCAAGGCAACATGACCCTGCAGCCTCATAGTTTGTCTGGGTTCATATGCCATGCCAATCTGAATAAACCAGTGTCTCTTTTCCTGGAGCTTAAGCTGGTGGCTGGGCGAAAGACAACATGTCATTGCAAGGCACAAAGCCCCCTAAATCTACACCAAATGACTAAAATAGCAGACATTAAACACTGCCATGAACATGAATCCAGCACTGTTCCCGTGCGTTTCAGCAGCTTGAGTGTCTTGTTGGCAAGTGGCTCTTGATGGCTTGTTTGAGATGAGATTAGGTCGCTTGGGTGGTGAATTTGGTTCCTTGGACCATCTTGGATTGACGGACGGTTAGGCGTTGTCCACTTGCTGAGGTGTTTCTGGAAGGCAGACGCGCAACACAAAGCAGGCCATGCACGCTGATCCGTTGGTTTATCATGCGCAAGCGTGCAAATCACATTGGACATCTCCTTCCAAAAAGGGATGGGCAACTTCGGTTGCAAGGATATCTTTGGTCCTCGGAAGCATCCGCAAAGGAGACTCTTGACTCTTGAGACCATAGTCCCATATTCAAATAGGAAGCCGTGGATTTGGTCGGTGCAGCTTACTCGAACTCTCTAGGATGTGTGGTCGCTGTGGACACCAGAGTTGCGCCATGTTGAGCCGTCAGTTGCATTGACTAGTGAGCGCGATTGCCAGGTGTGCTGAAGCTTCACACAAATGACATGATGGCCTTGTGTGCCTTGCCCACCAAGAAATGAGATGCGGATCGTGTAACGGCCATCTATCCAAATAAAATTGGCAGATTGCTGCACCCAGAACATCACTTGTTTGGCGATACCCCTGACTTTTACATTACCTTCATGCGAAAACTGCCGCTCAACCATTTTCCCTTGGCGATGCACATTTCGAGCCACGTCAAGAAACCAGGACAAACCACCAGTAGCACCACTAAGCACGACATCATCTCGAACATAGAGGCAGCTCAAGACAGTCCAAGTCAATGGCTGTTTTGATTTCAGTGGAGACTTTGTTTGAAGGACACCAGCTTGAGAAACTGTATGAAACTGTATGAAACTGTTAAATCTGACGCGCAGCCAACATGAGCCAATTGGGACTTTGTGCGTCAAAATAGTGTTGTCCTTTGGACTTCCAGACGCGCAGGTTGCGGATGCCTTGCTTCAGCCGCTGGAGAGGTTGACCCAGAATAAGCGGCCCGAGAGCCTTAGGCGAGGCGCCTGAGTGACAGGGAAAGCGGAAGGTTGCGCTTCTCGCAGCACAGTGTCTTTGTCAAACGATTCTCAATGGGCCCGCGACCTAACTTATCTTAGGACCCTCCAACCCGCCTTGCTTTCTTCAAGTGCGTTGCGCATGATGTAGTCCAGAAGAGCTGTCCGTGCGGCTAGCTTGAAGGAAGCAATGGGGATGGTAGGGTCATGGGTTGTGCTGTATTTGGATCACGGCAAGTTGACAATCTGTTCCACTTGAGATCTATCCCGACAAAAAGCCCCTGTTTGCTTGAAGTGTAGGGGTTTGAAGCGACCACAGGATCGATTTCCTTTTGGGCAGCTGGGCTTGGCCCGTTGGCCAGTGGTGGTCCCATGGTTGGGCACTTTGTTGCCATGAGAACATCTCTGAAAGCTCGAGGCTTTGCGTATGGATGCTCTTGTTCACACTTGTTGCCTGCGCGGTGGACATAATGATGGATCGGGTCGAGCGGGTCTTCCTTGGGCTGTGGGAGTAATCATTTGTTTCCAGGTGGATCGAGTTGAGCGGGTGTTCCCTTGCGTGATCATTGGATGCCGTGTCGAAAGGGACAAGCGAGCGTTTTTTTGGGCGGTGGACGCAATTTGGTGCACTGTGGGTTTCTCGCAAGCTTTAAAGCAGGCAGGGGGCAGTGGGACGGTTTGGGACGCAGATGCCGAGTTTTTTACGGCTGTCAGGGCCCGGTCCAATCCTTTTTTTCAGGAACTGTTTTTTGAGGTGCCCGCGTGGTTCTCGCCAGGTCGGTTGTGCACGACTTCACGGTCTTTAAAGTCGGTGACCGTGTGCAGCACACTTGCGTGAGCCTCAATCCCTCGCAAATGTGACACGCTTGAAAAAGTGATTCTCATGAATGATTTGCCTAGTTTTCCATTCCCGTCCTGTTCCTTCTTCCTGACCTTGGCTCGCTGCAGACAAATCTAAAAGGGACGCAGTTTTAGAAATCAAAAGCCACTGTGCAGCTACATACAGTGTTCCCGTTCTATTTGGTGGGTTACAATGAACAGCACTTCGAGGTCTGTACTGGCGAATATTCATCAAGGACAATTTTCGCATAGCCATCACGACCAAATCCTTATAAAACAAGGGATCTCTCGATTGTCATGCTAAAGTTGGGTGATCACCATCTGCCCAAAATGCATCCTTGGGCTGAGGCCTACCCCCGTTTCAAGAACCAGTCAACCCACTCTGCCCAAGACAGGATGTGATTGGGGATGTGGGGATGCCCTCAGTTCCCAGGCGGCAGCGTGGGCACCGTGATGAGCATCGACGAGGATGGGGACCTGCGGGTGGTGAAAACCGACAACACCATCACTGCGCCTAGGCCATCCCAGGCTAGGGATAGCGCAACGTTGACCCGAGGCTAACCAACAGCGAAGTGGCCATGCTACATACAGGCAGATTTTTCCGTGCGCAGTCTTTGAGACATCCACAGAAACTAGTCCTTTCATACTTGCCGGTCAGACTTCGGCCTTGCACGCTGGCTGACAGCCTGCTCGCTGGGCTGGTTGGTTGGCTGGCTGGCTGGCTGTTTGGCTGGCTGGCTGGCTGGTTGGTTGGTTGGTTGGTTGGTTGGTTGGCTGGCTGGCTGGCTGGCTGGTTGGTTGGTTGGTTGGTTGGTCTAAAAGCGGTAAGGGCAGTCATCGCCAAGTCCTCACAACCCCACGGCATCATGGCCACTGCTAGCATGAGCGCCGCAACTTTCTTTACTGCTGCCATTCTTGCGACTGCTGCATGCAATGCGAGCGCTGCGTGTTGCTTAGCACTCGCAGCTGACGTGTGTTCTTGTTTCAGACTGCAGCTGGAAGGCACCGCTCTCAGCAAGTTGCCATGCGCAATGTACTTCGCGTACCACTTGTGAACTTGAAAATGACTTTTTAGCCGAAGCTGCGGGAGCGCGCCAAGCGTACTACTTTTGTGAACTTGAAAGTTGCGACTTTGCAGCTGGAGCTGCGGGAGCGCGCCAAGCGTACTACTTTTGTGGACTTGAAAGTTGCGACTTTGCAGCTGGAGCTGCGGGAACGTGCTTCGCGTGCTACTTTTGTACTTAAAAGTTCCGACTCTGCAGCTGTAGCTGCGGGGACGTATTTCGCGTACTACTTTGTACTTAAAAGTTACGACTTTGCAGCCGGAGCTGCGGGGACGTACTTCGCGTGCTACTTTGGCACTTAAAAGTTACGACTTTGC